TCTTAGCAACAAATTAATTTATCAATTTTTTTCAATTTCAACACCCTGTATCTCGAAAATGGTGCATTTTAGATGGTAAGTTAATAGAAACGTTTTTTCATATTTTTGGACGAGCTATCACGTCCTGAAGTCCTGCGCATATATTATGAAACACCCTGTATATATATTTTTCTTTTTACTTTCCTATCTGTATACAGATATAAGGAAAGTATAGGAATCATGATTTTTTTCGACCTCGAGTTTTCGACGGATTTTTACGTTTTGAGGTCCCCTGAATCCGTTTTGACTATTTTCGCGATGATGTCTGTGTGTGTGTGTGTGTGTCTGTGTGTGTGTGTGTGTGTGTGTGTCTGTATAACGCATAACTCATGAACCGATACACAGAAAAACACCAAATTTTAAACTTAAGCTTTGTTTCAGCGTCCAATGAGCTGATTAGATTTTGGGCAGTGTCGGAACATCTGGGGGGGTACTTTATAGGTGGTCATTTTTATATTTTATGGAATATATCTGTTATTTACGTTTGGAGAAGAAAATTCTTCAAATAAAAGTTACTTCTAATATAATTATCTATAATTTTTGTTTTATGCAAAATTTTCCTAAAATGGTCCGTATTCGAGAAATTTGACAAAATATAAAAAACATAATTTTTTATAAAAATTGTTCAAATAAAAGTTGTTTATAATATAATTCTCTATATTTTTTGTCCTATACATAATTTCTCTAAAATGGACCGTATTCGAGATATTTGAGAAAATGTGTAAATTTCGAAATTTGAAGAAAACTCAAAAACGGATAAAGGAAAAAACATTAAATTTTAAACTTAAGGTTTATTTCGGCCTGACGTGAAATGATTAGATTTTGGACAAAGTTGGAACATCTGGGGGGGTACTTTATGGGAGGCCGTTTTTATATTTTATGGAATATATCTGTTATTTATGTTTTGAGAAGAAAATTGTTCAAATAAAAGTTACTTCTAATATTATTATCTATAATTTTTGTTTTATGTCAAAATTTCCTGAAATGGTCCGTATTCGAGAAATTTGACAAAATGTGCAAAATTCTGATTTTTATGAAAATTGTTGAACTAAAAGTTGTTTGCGATATCGATTTCTATAATTTTTGTTTATACATGATTTTTCTAAAATGGTCCGTAATGGAAAAGTGCTAAATTTAAATTTTTCTGTATTTTCGTTTTCAATGAATATCTATAGAAAAATGTTTCGAGGTAGATGTATGTGTAAAATGTATATATTTAGTTTATCCTCTAAACATTTATAGAGATGCTGCAATAGGTTGTACAAAATAACCGGAAAATGCCTATAATAACTAGATAGGAAAGTCATGTGTTGGACACATCAGATTTTTTGTTTTGTAATTTTATTTCTGCTTTCTTTTTTGTTTTTATTTTGTAAACTATTTTGATATTAAGTAACTTTTTTGTAAATTCAATATATTTTATTATCTATTTTTATTAAAATAAATCCTGTATTGCGGTTAGATGTAAGAATAACGTCGGCTAAATCTCGCCGAAATGAAATGTACACTTTAATTTTGTACAAATAATAGTATATTATGCAACGATCATGTAATGATGGTTATTAATACACGAGCATTAACCGGGATACGAAACGAGCCAAAGGCGAGTTTCGTATGGTTTATGCGAGTGTTTTAATAACCATTACATGAGAGTTGCATACGCTATTTTTTCTACACCCGATAAATAATCAAGACCTATAAATATTATATTTATATTGGTATTGAACACAATAACAGTAATTACTCGTATTTCTATAAAAAATTCTACAAAATTGTAATTAATGGTATTACTTCAGGTATTGGTATTTCCCTAGATTTTTGCGGTAAAATATTTTGTACTGTATTTTCTGCTTTCTCCGATATGTGTGGAGGAGTCTTCTATATCGCTAATATCAGACATTTTAATATTATAATTATCGAAGTTTAGCTACCTACGAAAATTTAATACGTTTTGACAACTAAAATAATTACATAGGAACCTAGGACAAACGTCAAACAGCATGCTTGATTGAAAAATTGTAGGTTTCTATTGATTAAAAATCTGTATCGTAATGAAAAATCTGTATCATAATGGGTATCATTATGAAACGGATTATGGGCATATAAGTGCATTATTATAATACGGGTGTAGAAAAAGGTCTTTTTATTATTATTTGTAACTTAAGGTAGTTCACTCGCGACAGTCGTACGTAAAAATATCGCTTAATGGTGAATACCAATAGTTCGAGATTCTCAATGCTAATCAATTTATTTTTGTAAGAGAATGTACAAAACACATGTAAGCTTATACAGAGTGGCCCAAAAGTCTGGAAACGGCCAATTATCTTGTAAATTGCTAGTCAAAATTTGGAGTACACCTATTTTGGGATAGGCTGATTCCAGATTTTATATTTGCAATGTTGCCAGATTTGCCGTTTCTCTTAAATTATTAGTCACTTTGGTTTTTTTAATTCACCATCCTGTATATTCAGTCATTATTGGAATCTCCTATTCAATACGGGTTCAACCATATGTAACACTTTATGATTTTATGTAGTCTGGAAGGTCTTAAAAAAATAAAATAAGTCTGGCAACGCCTAATTGTCTCAATAAATTTTTTAATACAAACTATTTTCAACTACTTTAAAACGTAACAATTGAAAGATTATAACATTTTTAACATAATGGTTGCTTTATCAAGTGTTCAAAATGTGAGTTGACAGTACCCTAATCGATGGTAGAATGCGTTTACCACATTTCTCCATGATTGTTTTATTTATTTAAGACCTTCCAGACTACATAAAATCATAAGTGTTACATATGGTTGAACTCGTATTGAATAGGAGATTCCAATAATGACTGAATATACAGGGTGATAAATTTGAAAAACCAAAGTGACTATAATAATATAAGAGAAACGGTAAATCTGGCAACATTGCAAATATCAAATCTGGAATCTCCGTATCCCAAAATAGGTGTATCCCAAATTTTGTACAATTAGGATTAGCAGTTTACGAGATAATTTGGCAGACTTTTGGGCCACTCCGTATATATGGATTTTAATAAAATCCATCCGGCAACCTCATAAATACATGAATGGTTTGCTATAGAAATTTGTGACTTCCTAATATTAATTTTAAGGGTTTGTTTTGGTTCAAACAGAACCGCTGATTCCAGTTCTCAAATACAGTGGACGAATTAATTTTTCAAGAAAACGTCGCGAGGTTATAACATCCTCTTAGCTGATCGAGTGTTATTTTGGTACAACGCGTTGATTGCAACGTATACAACGTTGCCAAGTTGTAAAAATTTTACGGAACTACGCGTCGATTGCTTTAAAAATATATATATATCTTTTTACTAAGACGGTCAAAAAATTCATTGTTTCTTTAGAAAATGTTATAACTTCTTGATTTACATTACATTAGTTTTTATAAAATATGGTAAGAACCGTTTTCGATATATCTTGAAATAAATGCATTACTTGTGTAGATGAGAGGCTTCAAGAGTGTTAATTATGCACATTTTGATTGTTAATATCTCGTTTCACAGACGGTCAAAATATTTAATTTTTTTAGTTACATAAAAGACACTTTCATTAACCTTATATTTCAATTTTATTGAATTCTTAAGAAAAGCCTTTTTACGAGTGAACTACCTTAAATAGCTTACGTCTATTATTATAGAAGAAATAAATTCGCTTTTGGGCTGTTATGGGCGGAACAAGACATAGAGACTAAGGCAGGTAGAGGTGAATTTTGTTCGCGTAGCTCCGGGTTCCTCTTAACAACCTGCTCTTTAATAACTTTTAAGATGATTTTAAGGTTTTTTTCGAATTCAAAATAATATGTGCCATAAATATTTTCTAAAAACGGGCGTTTTTAATTTTACGTATTATTTTTAGCTTAACTTTTTTTCTCTGAATTTAATCACTTTTATAGATTACTTTTTTATAAATTGAATAACTTATTCTATAGCTTCTGAAGCAATATAGGTGGAACAACTTGAATTTTCTGATCCATTATGTGCAAATTATTATAATTATAAATCTCTTCTAGGCTCTATTTTTCACTACATTCAGTAGGAGGTAAATTTTCCCTAAAAAGAATTATAAAATATTTACAATATAATCTACCTAAGCCTATTTCAATATTTTGTTGCATTCTCATTGATAATTTTCAGAGGATTCAAGAAACTCTTTGAAGTAGTTATTTTCATAAAATGTTTTCAGGGAGCACTAAGATTTATTTTACTCTGTCAAGAAGGATACAATGTAGCATTATTTTTTTTTAAATTTAAGTTTAAAATGTAACTTACTTGAAGGCAGACCAAGTTGAGAATTGAAAAAAATAGGAATTGCTTCTAGTTTTAAATTCGTCTTTCCCGGCGGAATTCATAACAAAATCATAATTTTTAAACTATTTCCAATATATTTGCGTTTTTGTTAATTTTATCAACTTCAACCGTTCCTAATTCTAGGTTTTGAATCCAAATATTCATTGCTTCAAGGATTGTTGGAAACCTGCATAACAATTACTAATAGTATTCTACAATATATTTGTACCAACTATGTTTTAGTAATTTTTAGACTTACAGCTAATAAAATTCGTTCTAGAAACTGTAAAAACTTAAAAATATGCCCTGGGAATATAAAATCACAAAAAATGTACAAATAAAACTGAAAATTCCCAAGTGCTTTTTGACAGTTGTGGCTAAAATTTGACTCTGCTTTTTAAAATAGATGAATCACATCAAATAACTAGGAGAAAGAGAAAAGGGTATATACTGGCTTCAAACAAATCCAGACCGTTATCTATATTTAATTTGTTTAACTGAGATGAAATCACACGCTACATATACATATTATTTACTTTTTTTAATTTAATATAAAAAACCATGATTATTAAACGGAAATTAGCTTTAATTACTTATTAATTTTAATTTACCTTTCTAATATTATGATTATTTTTTTTTCTATGCAGCAACAGTCATGATATGAACACGCCGAAAGTGTCCATTCAGGTGAATCATAGACCGAACGGCAGCATAACTACTCATATCACCACAAGTGCCTCTACATCGGCCCAACAAAGATCCTCGGATGCTTTCCCTGCCCTAGGCGGAGCATCTACAGTAGCGCAACCAAAGTGGGTACCGGTAAAACAAAAGAAGGAACCCAAAATACAAAAGGTAGCCGCCGCTCCAAACCTGCCGCCCAGTACACTAGAGCAGTTTCCTACTTTATCGAAAAAGAAGAACTCCGTCGCCGGGCCCGTATCTAACAATTGGGTCAACCTAAACCATTTTAATAGTGCAAATTCTAAAACTAGTACTAGTAATAATAATTTAAATAGTAATTTGCGAAGTGATAATTTTAAAGATAGTGATAGTAATATTAAGAAAAGTGATGTAAAACCATCTAGTTCTAAAAAAAAACATTCGACCGTCGAGTCTAAACTAAGTGACCTCAAAATCAACGACATCTATGAATCGAAAAGCAAAAACAAAAAGAAAAAAGGCAAAAACGCTGATGAAGAACCAGGTAGGTCTAAGTCTGAGGAAAAGGATAATTTAAATTGCAATAATGATGAAACAAATTTAAGAAACGGAATGGTTAAGAAACGTTCTGAATTGAAAATAGGAACTCTAACGAATTCCGGAGATCTTTCGATGGTCGCCAGCGATTTTCCCTCCTTGGGAGAAACGAACACTAGTCCTCCTCCTGGTTTTAGTGTCAAACCTCCTCCTGGTCTTAGTCCTAATGCTTTTCCAACTTTAGGTGTGGCAAGCGATTTTACCTTTACTTCGAGCAGCGGCCAAAGCTATTCCATCATGCCCGTTAGCACTTATCATCAACCTGCCAATTTTCATTCTAGAAATCAAAATTTGATCAAACAATTCATGACGATCTTGAACAATGATGCAATAAAAGAATTCAAGACTTATTCCGACCTCTTCAGAAACAGCGCTTATCCGATTACTAAATATTACGAATATTGCAAGGAGGTTCTGGGAGATAAATTTGATGACGTTTTTCCTGAGTTATTGGTACTGTTGCCTGACATAGAAAAACAACAGGAATTGTACAGGGTGTTTGACGGTAAAACTAAAAAAAACATGGTGGTTTGCGAGAATTGTAAACAGGTTATTTTCAATAAAGAATTGAGCGAACATTATAACAATCACGTTCTAGAAAATCAGTTTCCTATGCTGGGAAAAGCTCAGCAGATTAATAATAGCTCTTGGCGAAAATAAGTTGAGTTTTTGTTTTATTTAACCAGTAAGTTATTTTTGTTTTTTGTTTCATAAAAAGTAAAATAGAATTGTGTTAAAAATACATAAAATTATTTAGAAAAATTGTGTTGGTTTCCGATGTTTAAGAACTATGAATATTGAATATAAAATTTATTTAAATTGTAGAATTCTGATTATATCAAAAGTTATTTTTGGATGGTTCAGGTGCTTCGGATTTAGTTTAGTAATATTGATAAATTTAAAATAAGACTGGTTTGAGAGACATTTTCAAAAAATAGAAAAATTATTGATTTTTATTTGGAAATGAGTTTTCTTTATAACATGATTCACATATTATTTGATTTTAAAGAATTGAAGTTTTGATACTTTTTTGACCCTCTTTAATGTAAACTGGTTTTACTTATGACAATACCTACAGTTTTAATCAAAATTTACCGCCCGCCTGAATAGGCTAAATTTATTTACTATTGGCAACGCTGCATTTATAAAATTGTCAATTATCATATTATCAGCAAATTAAAAATATACAGGGTGGGCTTCGGTAATTGCTTCGGTTTTCACATGTATATTAGAAAAGGCAACAATTTTAAAATAATTTCAATTATACAGGGTTCTCCAGGAAAGTGATACATATCAAAATTAAGTTTTTGTATATTTTAATTGCACTTTTCTCATTATAACAATACCAAATGGTACGGGATTATACAGAGTATTTCACATGCTATAACCAGTTTAGGATGAAATGGCCTGTATACTGCAAAAGAAACAATTGAAAAAATTTTTTTGTGGGAACAGTTTTTCGATGTTAGTCAATATTTATACAGATACACTACTTTTTTAACACGCTTTTATTAGCTTCACATGTATGTATGTATGTTTGTAACTCTCCTTTTGACTAAAAGCAAGTAGCTTATTACTGTCAGTATATCCCACCACCTCAAGTTCGTTCGTTGGCCGAGCGGTCTAAGGCGCGGGTCTTCGCTCACGCCAGACTCACCGATCGGGGGTTCTAATCCCGTCCACGGCTAAAAAAAAAATAATTGTTTTTTTTTTCAGCCATTTTTTTTAATAATTAATCGAACTAAAAAGTAAAAAATAAATATAGTTTAAAAAACTAAAGAAACGCGCTTTTATAATACTTCGAACTAAAAAGTGAAAAATAAATATAGTTTAAAAAAACTAAAAAACACGCTTTTAGAGCATATCAAACTAAAAAATTAAAAATAATTTTTCAAATAAGCTTAAAACAATAATAAATGGAAAATACTAGTATTATTGTGAAAAAAGCATGGTGCGCTTTGTCCATATTTCTCGTACATCGAGCGACCGACGCTTTTTTCACAATAATACTAGTATTTTCCATTTATTATTGTTTTAAGCTTATTTGAAAAATTATTTTTAACTTTTTAGTTTGATATGCTCTAAAAGAGTGTTTTTTAAAGTTAATAATTTTGAGAATTTTTTAAATTTAAATGCCAAACAAAAATAAATCATAAAATATTTTAATTTTAACTGGTCATTGATAAATAGGAAATAGACTGGTAATTAGAATTTAACCAGCAATAATTTATTATCGACTTAATAGGTTTTTGACACTTTCTAATAGGACATTCAGTAAAAAATAAATAGGAATAACAACCAAGCATAGACTCACTACTATCTCCAAGCATCCATCATTACATCTTCCTTGGGCATTATTTTTTATGTGCTCTACTTTATCGTAGAAAGCCTTTCTCTTCTGTTTTTTTTTTTTTTTTTTTTAAAGCATGTGCAAGGTATTCGACCGACAACGCCTACCACAGAGAGCTCTCGTTAATTAATTGAATTTTGATATAGAAATATGAACCCTTAAAGAGCTTAGTTACTCTAGAATTTGAATTAGACTTCTGAGGAATAAAAGATAAATATTTATTTGATTTTAAAATAAATTGTACACATGTAAAACGGTCGTTTGTCTTCTTGTTCTGTCTTCTTAATTTAATTTTTCTCCGATGTGTCTTTTTTCTTCCCCGTCTCCCCTATCAACGTTCGTCAAGGCTCGACTGATCAGGATGCACCTCAAAAGACATCGACTATTGCCGCGTTTGAGAATCCATATCGGATGCATTTTTTACATCTCGAGCGTTTTTTTATCCACATCGGACGCATCTGTCCCATTACATTTACGTATACTGAATCACGTGATCAAAGATTTATTACATCTCAGATGCATCCGATGTGGATTCTCAAACGCAGCATATAATATACCTGCTTAAGACTTAACATAATTATGACATAGATCTGACATTGACACTTGAATAACCTCAAATAAAAACGACCTAAGGCGATTTTAAATCAGATACTATGTCTTGAATATGTATAACTACACTGATATAAATCAAAAACAATGACGTTGTATTTCTAAAATACTTTTTTTTTTCTAAGTTTAATTTGTTAGAGTTTAATTTGTTTTATGTAAAATATTACACTGCCTAAAACAATGAATGTAAACCACAGGCTGAAGGACCTCGGTCAATGGCCTTTTGTAACTTTTAAGTTTCAATAAAGCACTTATTATTATTATTAATATTATTATTATTATTATTATTATTAATATTATTATTATTATTATTATTATTATTATTATTATTATTATTAGAACGTCATTATAATCACGTAAGAATCTTGACCACACTTGACTTGGTCACATTTCTAGTAACTGATTTAAAATCGCCTCTAAAAGTCTTAAACTGAGATGACATGTAAGTCAAAACAAAAGGTAAGATTATGTGGGGATCACGATGTCGCCACACTTACCGAGATACAGTGTGTTAAATATTTTAAATCAAAATTCAAAATTTACCATAAAACAAAAAATCCTTTAATTTTTTTTTTTTAAATTTGATCCACCAAGATCTTGTCAAAAAAAAAAACTATAAAAAATGTAACATGTGCTTACTAGTTTAGAATTTGGAAATATTGAGTCCTTACAAATGATTAAGTCATACTTAGAAGCAACACCATTCATTTTAGCTCCATTAAAGGTTATTACGTTTTTAACTAAAAATTGACATAATTAAAAAAAAAATGTTTGTCCCAGTAGCGTAAAAATAGAGTGGAAAAATTGTCACTAACCTTGATAACGCGCATCTGGTTAAATTTTTCAAAAGTTAGTTTATGTCAAAACATTACTTTCTTAAAGAGCATAGAGCAAAGTTGAAAAAATATTTAAAGGCGTTTTTGATTTTTGGTAAAATTTTGAATTTTAATTTCAAACTTTCAACACCCTGTATCTTGGTAACTGAGCCCTTTAAGGATCCATATTCCTAAGTCAAAATTCATCAATTAACGAGAGCTCTCTCGAATATACAACAACCTGTATATTAAGCAATAATATATTGAATGTTTTTGCTTTTGCTCTTAGGTTGGCTATTCTTTCATTTATTATATTAAATTCTAGTTTTTCTTATAAACCACCTAGCATCATAAATCCTACCCCATAATAACCCTGTTTTTCTTGCTCAGAATAATGTAACAAAGCCTTTTTTCTCAATTGAGGCGTGTTATGCAAAAACCTCATGTCAGTTTTTCTTGAATTTTATATTATGACACTAATGGGTATAAAACATAAGTATCTATGTACCTTGCTTAAAAAAAAATCCGCAAAATCACCGGTAGTCCAAGGTATGAAAGAATAAAATATCGACCACTCTGCATTAACCCCATATGTCAACAGCAGTTTTCATCAAAAATCAGAGAAGTTGAATTTAATGACAACTGGAGTTTTTGCAAAGAACGCCTCAATTGTTCCTATACCATCCCGTCTTATCTCCTGAATTGCTGTGACACCTATGCCATGTCTATTGAGTTCTTTTCGTATTTATTGTATTTTTCCAGGTTCTAACATTGTTTTAATGTTCCAGGTACTTATTCTCAATTCACTTCTGCTTTTTCTTCTATTATTTTCTCTATCTTTTTTATTTCAGCATTCTCTGCTTTATTATTTTCTTTGTTTCTGTTTTCTGTCTAGTTCTTTGCCAAGACGTTTCCTTCATTTCCTGACCTTTATTTTCCTTTTCTTTTTTTATTTGAAATTTCACTCGCCCTGTACAGATTTGTTTTTAATTGAAAAACATTGTGAATTGATATAAATCTTGACTGACATTGAAAAGCTTTTGCTGTGAAAAAATTCGTTTTCAACTGTTTCTTTTGCAGTATACAGATCATTGAAATCAATACGATTTTTATATAAAACTGGTTATAGCATATGAAATGCCCTGTGCAATCCCATATAATTTGGTATTGTTGTAATGAAAAAAGTGAGGGAAATTCAAATATAAAATAAAATACAGGTCTTATCAAAAGAAACCTATCTTTGATATGTATCGCTTTCTTGGAACCTTATATAAATAAAATTATTTTTAAATTGTTCTTTTCTGATATACTTCTCATTGTGAGAACAGATTTAAAAAAAAAAAAATCAAATCAATTAGTTTTATCTCTACATATCGAGACGTTATCGGTAGCCCAACCTGTACAATATTTTTTCCAAAACTTTGAAGGCAAAATATAAGAAACTATAAAAGTTAAAAAAAATTTGTATGGTTAATTGCTCTATGGATAGTCTAATATTGTTACTTAGCCGTATCCACAACAGGAAATAAACAAAATTATTTAATTCACATTTTTATGGTCCAGACTGGAAGGCACAATTTAAAGCTTTTAGGAACAAAATAGTTATTTATACAAAGTTCGTAAAATCAGAGTTTTCGTAAAGAAATATAAACAATACTTTTTATCTAACTGTACAAACAATTATGCTAATATGTAAGAATTTGTAACATTTCGATTTATTGCTGTAAATTTCATCTCATAATTCGGGTCGATCCTACTTTGACCTTCGTAACCATGGAAATCTTATAATTTTTATGTAGTCACTTTGAATTTTGAAGTGTCAAACAATTACTTCAGTTTTATTGATGTCCCTTAATTTATCAACTCGTTTAAGATAAATTACGAACTTAAAAGTGATAGTGACACTCCATCTGAGATAAACGATGTGGCAAACATTACAATTTCAAATATGTTAGAAAACTATTGTACGAGAAAACTTAAATTAAAACTGATATTTTTGATTACAGTATCTAGAACTGCTTACAATATAATGAAATCTAAATGCCTATACGGTATAATAATATACCTCGTTTGAATGTAGGTTACGCAGTATAGTTTCAATGAATAGTTTATTCCGTGCATTATTTTTCTCAGTACATTTATGGTGTGACTGAAGGTCGGAGATTTCTATCCTCTCTACTTCAAAATCCTTTCTGTGTTTTGTGTCCACCCAGTTCTGCTGATTCCATCTATGTCTGAAATTAGATTCAATAACTAACCCTTTCTCTTTTAATGGGATTCCAATAGCAGTTATTATTATTTTAGAACATTGCTAAATCAATTATTTTCTATGCCTTTTTTTAAAATAGTAGAAGTTTAAAAATGTTGATAATAAATTGTTAAAAAAAAAATGTGAAGTCTGAATTTTGTACAGTGTCTATTTTAAGTTCGCAGCATATGGAAAACAATTTATATTGTTACTTTTAAGAAAGTTATTTTTCATAATGCAACCATCAGATATTAAATGTTTGTGAAGAATAACTTTTTATTCTTAAAATTAATACTAAAAAGCATCACTAGATACACTGTATAGTATATTAAACCTTTATTAGTATGAACAGCCGTATTTACTGCAATTCTTTTATTACAGTAATAACAAGTTAACTGACCGAATATATCAATTTATTTTTTGGACATCCTGAAGTTTATGTTGAAATTCTTCCTGAATTTGGAATAATTTCCCATGTTGTAAGTTAAATAAACTGTGATTAAATTTACTGTTCATATTTTCGTTACAACCTGTATAAGCAAATAGACTTAAAAATTGTTCGCAACTCAAGTATTATAAATTTTAAAGAAACCGGCTCTAAGAATAATCAAAAACTAATACTGCAGAATGCGTTATAATAATGGTGACTGAAACGTTGGTATATAATGTTTCCCATACAGGAATGCAGAACATGTGGATCTTATTATCAGTTAAATATACAGAATGGTTAAGTGGGATAAAAATTGCTTATTTAGAGGGACAATAATATTGTCTGAACGGATGTCAAATACCCAAGGAAATTTTTAGTTATTTATTTTTAACTTTTACAGCCAGTTACAAAAACGTCCATTAAAATTTATTAGCCTAATGAATTTGAGAATGACTGTCTGAATGACGTACTTCAGATTTTTCCCAGCTGAAACATC